CTTGGAATAATTTAAAATTAGTCTGGGTGAGTTAATATTTAAAGCTAGGAAGACTGACACAGAATTTGACCATGGAGGAAGTGATCTGCAATGCCCAATGAGCAGCTACTGTAAGAGTCAGAAAAGTCAGTTTTATGCAAATAATTTGCATTTCAGATTCATAGAGCTCTTAGTACTCAAAGTTACACCAAAATTCCACTTCATTCAATTGAAAAATATAGAATCTGAGGTCCACAGCAAAATAAGGAATTTATCCAAAGTCATACTGCCAACAATAAGTAGCCAACCTAGAACTTGAACCTAGGGCTTCCCAAATAAATCCAAACACCCTAACTTAGAGCCTAGGATTCTCCCAGAGCCCAACTAAAAACAGTTCCACTAAGATACTGAGATTTTAACTTGGGAACACAGGAAATCAACAAACATTATTTTGTCCAGATGGCAATGGCTTTTCTAATAACATTTTTACAATAAATACCTATTGAACAAGCACAGATGAAAGTACATGTCAGTGTTAAGAAAATTATTACTTCACTGAATTATCACACAAATTTTGATAGAGTATGCTTGAGACATGGGTTTGTTAAGAAAACAAGGAGCATCTTGTAAACAGATCAGCAATGTTTCTGAATATTTCCTACCATGTGTCATTTTGACACAGATAAGCAGATCTTTATCAAACAAAGCTATAACTCTTCTCTACACAGCTGCTTTTCAAATTACTGTTCTCCTTAGAAAAACATTTCAATTCCTTTTATTGGATGGACCATTTTCACCATAAAAGGAAAAAAAACCTGGTTTTAACAGTCCCTGGACAGAGTCCCAGAGGAGTAAAGGTGACGAGTTCGTCACTCAGATGTGCCCAGAGGCAGGCCTGTGACCAAGTCAGGCCAGGGCAGAGCCCTCCTGACTGACTGACTGCTCCCAGCATTGCCTTTGACTCCAGGCTTTTTCAGCAGCTAGATCCTCAAAGACCATTGTATTGTAATGTGGGCATCTATCAGTGTGCTTGGGTTTGCGGTCTGGGGGAAAGAAAGAAGGAACACCAGCAGATGGGGGAGTGGGGCGGAACTGTGGGAGGACTGCTGGGTGGACCTGCTCTGCTGAGTATAGGATGTATGCAGATAGCGGAAGGTCATGAGAAGGCCTGACAGCCTAGCTTTGGAATCCGGACTTTGTCTTGAGATTATGAGGAATACACTGCAGGTGTCTGAAGAGAGAAGTGATAGGATATGAGGTAAGAGGATAGAGGTAAAAATTGAAAGGGCAGATTCTACAGCTAGACCTCTGGCTTCAAATCCCAGATCTCCTGCTTCCCACCTGGGCACATTACAACTTTCTGTGCCTGTTTCATTAGCTGTAAAAATGGGATAATAATAGAATATATACTTCATACAACTGTTGCAAAGATTTAAGGGAATATACACATATGTGTGTGTGGGTATATATGTGTATATACACACATATATACATAAGTGTGTGTATATATGTGTATATTCGGCAGCCAGAACAGTGCCTAGCACATAGTAGATGCTCAAATTATACTTGAATAGTTAAGTTTTAATATAGGCATACCTAGGAGACATTGCAGGTTCAGTTCCAGACCACCTCAATAAAGTGAATTTCACCATAAAGTCACATGAATTTTTTTGGTTTCCCAGTGCATATAAAAGTTATGTTTACACTATAGTAGAGTCTATTAAGTATATAATAGCATTATGTCTAAAAAAATGTACATATCTTAATTTAAAAATACATTATTGCTAAAAAATGTTAACAATCATCTGAGCCTAAAACAAGCAATAATCTTTTTGCTGGTGGAGGCTCTTGCCTCAATGTTGATGGCTACTGATGGATTAGGGTGGTGGTTGCCAAACGCTGGGGTGACTGGCAATTTCTTAAAATAAGACAACAATACCATTTGCCACATTAACTCTTCTTTTCACAAAAGACTTCTCTATAGCATGCAATGCTGTTTGATAGCATTTTACCCACGGTATAACGTCTTTCAAATTTGGAGTCAATTTTCTCAAACCCTACCATTGCTTTATCAACTAATTTTACGGAATATTCTAAATTCTTTGTCATTTTAACAATATTCACAGCATCTTCACCAGAAGTAGATTCTAACTCAAGAAACCATTTTCTTTGCTCATCCATAAGAAGCAACTACTCAGCCACTGAAGTTTTATCATGAGATGGCAGCAATTCAGCACATTTTCAGTCTCCACTTCTAATTCTAGTTCTCTTGTTATTTCTACGACATCTGTAGTGACTTCTTCTGCTAAAGTCTTGAACCCTTCAAAATCATCCAGGAGGTTTAGAATCAACTTTTTCCATTTTATGTTGATATTTTGATCTTTAATGTTGATATTTTGAGGAGTCTCATGAATCATGAATGTTCTTAATGTCATCTAAAATGGTGAATCCTTTCCAGTAGGTTTTCAATTTACTTTGCTCAGATCCATCAGAGGAATCATTATCTATGGCACCTATAGCCTTACAAAATCTATTTCTTAAATAGTAAGACATGAAAGTCAAAATGACTCCTGGATCCATGGGCTATAAAATGGATGCTGTGTTAGCAGGCAGGAAAACAACATTAATCTCCTTATACATCTCCATCAAAGCTCTTGGATGACCAGGTGCATTGTCCATGAGCTGTAATATATAGAAAGTAATCTTTTTCCTGAGCAGTAGGTCTCAACAGCGGGCTTAGAATACTCAGTAAACCACGCTATAAACAGATGGGCTATTATCCAGGCTTTGCAGTTCCATTTCCACAGCATAGGCAGCCTAGATTTAGCAAAATTCTTAAGGGCCCTAGGATTTTGGAATGGTAAACGAACATTGGCTCCAACTTAAAGTCACAGCTGCACTGGCCCCTAATGAGAGTCAGCCTGTCCTTTGAAGCTTTGAAATCAAGTACTGACTTCTCTCTAGCTATGGAAGTCCTATATGACATCTTCTTCCAAAATAAGGCTGTTTCTTCTATATCAAAAATCTGTTGTTTGGTGTGGCCATCTTCATCCATTATCTTAGCCAGATCTGAATAACTTGCTGCAGCTTCTCCATCAGCTCTTGCTGCTTCACCTTATAGTTTTAGGTTATAGAGATGGCTTCTTTCCTTAAACCTTATGAACCAAACTCTGCTAGCTTCAAACTATCTTTCAGTAGCTTCCTCTCAGCCATCATAAAATTAAAGAAAGTTAGGTTGGTTTGGTTTAGGATTTGGCTTAAAGGAATGTTGTGGCTGGTTTAATCTATCCATACCACTAAAACTCTCTATCACCAATAAGACTGTTTCACTTTCTTATCATTCATGAGTTCACTGGAGTAGTACTTTTAATTTCCTTCAAGAATTTTTCCTTTGCATTTACAACTGCCTTCTTGGCACAAGAGGCCTAGCTTTCAGTATATCTCAGCTTTCAACATGCCTTCCTCACTAAAGCTTAATCATTTCTAGCTTTTGCCTTAAAGTGAGAAATGTGTGATTCTTCCTTTCACTTGAACACTTAAGAGGCCATTATGGGATTATTAATGGGCCTAATTTCAATATTTTTGACTCAGGGAACAGAAAGACCTAGAAAGAAAGAGAGAGCTGAGAAAATGGCCAGTCAGAATACACCCATTTATCAATTAAGTTCATTCTCTTCCCCACAGGTGCTGTTTGTGGTGCCCCAAAACAATTAAAAAAGTAACATCAAAGATCACTGATCACAGATCATCATAACAGATACAACAATGAAAAATCTGAAATACTATGAGAATTACCAAAATGTGACACAGAGACACAAACTGAGCACACGCTGTAGGAAAAATAGCACCAATAGACTTGCTCAATGCATAGTTGCCACAAACCTTCAATTTGTAAAATACACAGCATCCGTGAAGTGCAATAAAACAAAGTGCAATGTAACAAGTTATGCCTGTCATTTAGACTAATTGAGTTTTAATAATCAGTGAATATAAAAGTACAGAACAGCACCACTCACTAGAAATACAGTGCAAGCTACAATTGTAAGCCATGTGTGTAATTTTAAATTTTCTAAGAAGTCATAATAACAGCTGAAATTAACGATATATTTTTAACTAACCTAACATATCCAAAATATTATCACTGTGATACATAATCGATGTAACAAAAAATATTAAGATATCTTATTCTTCTTGGTAGTAAATCTGAAATCTGGCGTGCATTTCACACTTATAGCACATCTCAATGTGGACTAAACACATTTCAAGTCCACAGTACCCACATGCGATTGGTGGCTGCAGTATTAGACAGTACAGGTCTTGAAGGATACACATCAAACTATTAGCCCAGGCGACCTCACAGTGTGGCTTGGAGGAGGGGTGGGAAAACTACTAACACTTCGTTTACATACTTCTATATTGCTTAATACGTAACAATGAGGATACACATCTTAAAAAACCAATTATGAATAAGAAAAACATTTAATAATAACCCCAAACTAATGTCATTGAAATAGTCATAAAAATATAGAGGAAAATCATTTTAATCTGGGGGTTCGGAAACTGTGTTCTAAGTCATATGTGGGACCTTTAGAAAGCTCTTTTCCTTTCGTGGGCCTCAGTTTCCCTGATTCTTTAAGACCTCCCAGCTTTTAAAGTGTCAGCAACTATAATTCTCCTATACTGCCTCCAAGAATCTACCAATGCATGAGAACACTCCTCACTTCCGGAAATGGTGTGTTTTTAAGCACAGGGACAAAGGAGGTGTTCTCTCCAACTCTCAGGACCTCCTGAATCTAGACCTGTCTTTAAAGACAGCTTTCTGTCTGCCTTAGGCTATCAACATTCCCAGCTCCAAAGAGCTGACGTTTTACATTTGAACCCCGGTTCCCTCCGTGGCCTCATGTAGTCACAAACACCGAGAATTGAAAAAACAAACCTGGCCTTTTCCCTCTCCCGCAGGAATGATTTGGTCCGAATGCAAGGAAATCTGGGAGGAGGGGCCGCGGGAGTATGTGCTGCACCTGTGGAACCTGCTGGATTTCGGGATGCTGTCCATCTTCGTGGCCTCCTTCACAGCGCGGTTCATGGCTTTTCTCAAGGCCAGCGAGGCGCAGCTGTACGTGGACCAGCACGTGCAGGACGACACGCTGCACAACGTATCGCTTCCGCCGGAAGTGGCGTACTTTACCTACGGTGAGTTAGCCAGTGCTGCGGCGTTCCGCCCTGCATGCTTCCTGCCTGGGCCCTGGCCCTGTGTGGCTAGTTCCGCAGCCGGTGGTTCCTAACGACGCCGACTGTGGCTAGAAAGAAATACAAAATTGATTTATTTTCCCAAGAAAGAACGAGAGACACGGAGAGAGAAAGAAGGAGTTACTTCTATCAGTAACTACCTGTTCGGTTTAGATCCTTCATATTTCTTCCTACCCCCAATCAGTAATTTCTGCTCATTTCTCATTATTTATTCCCTCTGTTTCTTTATTCTTGCTCTATAGTGTTTCTACCATCTTGAGATGAATGAAAAATTTTAAAATGTATTTTTATTAAACTTTTCTCTGATACATGTTCAAAAAAAAAAATCCTTACCAGAACCTAACGCCTGATGGTCTGAGGTGGAGCTGAAGCGGTGATGCTAGTGCTGGGGAGCGGCTGCAAATACAGATTCTCATTAGCAGAGAGGTTTGACTGCACAATAAATGCAATGTGCTTGAATCATCCCAAATCCATTCCCCCCTCCCCCCAGCTGTGGAAAAATTGTCTTCCATGAAACACCATCCCTAATAGAATGTGAATTTAGTGACTTAGAGAAATGAATCTTTTTGTGTTAGATAGGATGAGTTTGTTTTGGAAAGACTCTTGGGGTGTTTCTGTAGTTTTTTTTTGTGGGGGTGGTGCTGTCTGTGTCTGTGTGTTTCTTTTAAAGAAATGTCTTGTTTCTGATGTGGATCCAGGAACACTAAAGGGATATGTATGTATTGAAGAATGTTCCTTCTGTGTTGGATCCCTATGGTTTGTGCAAAGATTAATCCTGCTTTCCCAGTCCTTTCTTTGTGGCAAGATAGGTTCTTAGGAGATACCTCAGTTCTTTCAAACTACCAGGCCATACAGTTTTAGGTAGTAGATTGAGACTTCAGGAAAAATAATAGTTATAGCATCCATTTATAAGGCCTTACTGTGTGCCAGGAACTGTATAGAACATGTAACATATATAAATTCCTACCCTTGCAATAGCCCTGTAAAACAGGTCTTTTTTTTTTTTTTTTTTTTCGGTCCATATTTTATACATGAAGAAACAGGTTTTCATGGCAGGGTTGATAATGTTTCCAGAAATACAGGATTGCCTACCAGGAAATCCTGGCCTGATATGAATTGAAAATCATGCCAAATGGCATAGTGGTTCTGTCAGCCAAGCTTTGTTATAAGAGAGACCTGGGTTCAAATCCTAGTTCTGTAGCTTACTGTGAGACCTTGTTTATTTAATTTTTCTGAGCCTCCAATTTCTCATATGTATAACAGGTATAATAATACCTATGTCAAAAGTTTGGTTTTTTTTTTGAGGGTTAAATAAAATAGCTAATGTGGAAAGGTTAGCACAACTCTGAAAATGGTAAATGCTCATTAAATGGTAACAATTATTATCACTACTACCTTTTGGGCTATTTTCTTACTCAAACACTGTACTTTGTGTTCTGAAACAGAAAGATGAGGTGGTAAAGGAACAGATATCTGTTGTTGTTATCAGTAAAAGGTATTAAATAGCTGAACACAGTAGACATTTGTTAACGGCAGCTGCTATATCTTCAAGGGTTTGAGTGTCAAATTTTCCACAAGCCAGGTGGGTCCATGACTGCAGAATCTTCATGGTCAGGTACAGCAATGATCTGGAGAGGGTTGGCCACTTATTGCAAAAGTTGAGTTGTTGACCATTTTCAGTGTAGATTATGTTATGTGTAGAGGTGGTAGAGAAATCCCCATTGAGAAAAGGAGACTGTTGTAGTATTACAAATCATCCACCCACCCACTCCCTGACACTTTTTGATTCAGCAAATTCAGACTTTCTTAAAGCAAAATGGGTTTGGATATTGTCCCTTGATGAACTGTGCTGCTCACAGTTCATCAAGACAAGAGAGATTGTGGATACTGCATTAGGCACTTAATGCCATGATTCAGGCTGCAGTATTGTCCACTTGCAACTTCTATTCCTTTATGGATTGTATTAAGGTCTCGCCCAACTCAAAGCATAGTACATTATTGCCCTTGTTTTTGTGGTTCACCCTATGCCCTTGGAAATCTTGAATTTCTCAATGTTTACTTGGGCTCCAGTTACAAGGAAAGGGAGCCCTCTTGTGGCCAGACAGACAGTGATGCCTCCAACCTCGAGCACCAATTTTTCAGATTGTAAATAGGACAATTTTTCTCATGGAAACAGCTCCAATAAGAAAATCCCTTTGTCTGAATTATCACAGTGCTGTTTGCTTTACACCCATAACAACTCTTTACAAGCCAGTCCAAGTATAGTATTTTTCAATAGAAGTCCTGACCTGGTCACCAGGCTCTGACAACAGCTAATCTATCTTAATAGAATATAGGTGTGGCTTTTATTATTGTAGTTAAGGTTTAAGGTGGTAAATTAGTGGCAGCAGAAAAAAGAAATTCCTTTTTGTTGTCTGTTTAACAGAAGAAGACATGTCCTATTTTATGTTATCCAAATGTGTTATTTGTCCATAGAAGGTGACAGGTATATTAGCAAACATAATTTTTTCTGCTTGTCTTTCGTGGACTTCGAAGTATGACCTTGATAAGAATAGAGTGTATAATGTTATTGTATTTCCAAATGTCGTAGAATTATTATGTGAAACTTTGTGGCCTGGCTTCCCTTACTAAAGGTTCCTTAGTGCTATTAATATAATTGTTTAACAGAGTCTAGCTTTGAAAATAAAGAACAAAATTCTTCCTCTTCTATCCCCCTTGGCATGCCAGGAATTGCAATATAATATCCTTTCTATCTGCATTTACTGGGCTCTGAAAAGGACTCCATACCCCAAATCCAATCTTTAAAATGACACTAATGATATCTACTCTACATGCCTGTTGTAAAAATTACAGCCAATGTAAGTATAAGTGCTAATTTAGGTTTCTCAGTGTTTCTCAATTAAAGTTTCACTTAGCATTTCTCAACAGGGACACAATTTTTCTGCAGGGCAGTTTTCATGGTGTATGTCTGTCTGGAGTATCTCAGGATATTAGCACCCTAGTAATGCTCCTACCCAGTCACTGTGACAACCAGAGACGCCCCCACACTTCCCCCATGAAGGAGGGGCTGCCCTCCCTTGAGAATCACTGTGTGTCCTGACACCTCACAGACGGCTGATTATGATAGGAGCTGCTGCTCGCACCATTAGCACTGCAGTGGGGTCACTTGAAAGGTTTGCTCTACTGCAGAAATACCCACCGGGCAGCTCAGGCCCTTGTAGTCATAGTGTTCCCAAGCAGAGTCTCTCTAGTTCCAGATCAGTCCAGGTGGACACTCTTGTCAACCTGGAACAGGGCTGTCATTGCACACCTGCCTGACTGGTCACCACTTTGGGGCTTGAGCTCACCTAAGGAGCAAATTTCCCAGTGCAGACTACCTGGGGAACAAAACCCAAGAGCATTTTCTCAGGAGAGATCCTGCAGATTCCTGGTCCCCATGTGAGCTCATTTGTTCTGACATACGGCTAGTCTCAACTCGTGGTTAAGAGCTCACTCAGTCATTTAACAAATATTTGTCAGTACCTGCTGTGTGCCAGACCCTGTGCTAAGCACTTTACGTATACGATTTCATTGTATCCTCACCACAGTCTTGTGAGGTGGATGATATTATCCCCCATTTAAAGAAGAAGAAAATGAGGCTCAAAAAGGTTAGTTTACTTGCTCAGACTCATATGGCCAGTGAGGGCAAAGTCCACATTCAGCCTCAGGTCTGTCTAACTCCAAATCGACACTCTTGCCCACCACCTCCCCGGTGAGCGGGACAGCTCCTGCGTGTGGGGTTCAGACAGAGGCGAGGGGGACAGAAGAGCAAGCAGCGTGGTAAGTGCCACGACGGGTGGGGATATAGGAGACCAGGGAAGCACGCAGGGGAAGCGGGAACCTGTCCAGCCTGCGGCGGTCACAGAAGGCTTCCTGAGAGAGCGGATGCCTAAGAAGAGCCTTGAAGGATGACTGGGAAGGAATCAGACCTTGAAGTGGGGAAAGGGTGTTCCAGACAGGTGGTCCAGCACATTCCAAGAGGGAGGGTGGCCCCTTCTGTGTATGGGGATTAATTTAAGGACAAGGAATGGCAGGCCGTGTGCTTGGAGACCTCTAAAGATGCCTAACCGGTTTCTCTTCCAGAGTAGACCCTGTCCCTCCATGAGTAACTCAGATTGTTTTCTTTTAGCCAGGGACAAGTGGTGGCCTTCAGACCCTCAGATCATATCGGAAGGGCTGTACGCGATCGCCGTCGTGCTGAGCTTCTCTCGCATTGCCTACATCCTGCCAGCCAACGAGAGCTTTGGGCCCCTGCAGATCTCCCTGGGGAGAACTGTGAAAGATATCTTCAAGTTTATGGTCATCTTCATCATGGTGTTTGTGGCCTTCATGATCGGGATGTTCAACCTGTACTCCTACTACCGAGGTGCAAAGTACAACCCAGCGTTTACAACGTGAGTACCCCCGGCTCTCCCCAAGGGTCTCTCTGGGCGTCCTGGGAATCCTTGAGAGTCTCTTGGAGGTGGCTTCTTGCAGAGTCCCAGGTTTCTTTAGTATTTTCTCAAGGTTGAAGGCAACTTCACTCAAGGATGGCTTAGAGTTCAGGTTCTGGAGTTGAGGAACAGGAGAGGTGGGATAAATCCTCACTTTGCCACCTACACTCCGTGTGGCCGTGAACATGTTCCTTAACCCTCAGGACCTTCATTTCGTCATATTTAAGATGAGGATAACAATAGTACCTGCTTCCTAGGGATAATGTGAGGATCCAGTGAGATGATATAACACATAGCAAATTCTCAATAAATGCAAAAAGTATTATTAGCAGTAGTATTGTCTTAGCCTGTGTTACCTAGAAA